TTTAAAAAAAGGCATTTATTTTTATACTCTACTAAAATGCAACAAAAAAAGGGTTTGATTCTATTAATTGTTCTTTTTTATTGCACTTTGGCAGCAGATTCCTGTGCAGCTTCAGATCTGAGTTGTCTTATTAGTAAGACTAATTTATACTTTTGTAGCAACACTATTTTTATATAATGGCAAAGAAAGGGTTCAGAGTCTTTTCTTTTTTCCCTGTGTCATATGTGGCAGCACTGTTCAATGTTCAATGTTTCTTGAATACATTACCCACTGTAGTATGTGACGTGTGGATAAACTCCAACTCTGTATCAACAACACTGTTGTGTAACTTCAGTTAAATACTTGTATGTGTAGATTAGAAAGAGGTAAGATAAAGGATCTGCAGTATTTTATGAAGTATTAATCGTCCAAAGGTCAGTTTTATACAAGTAGTGTGTATTTACCTGGTAGTTTCCTGGTCAGTAATGGCTACGCCTCTCTATTTGGACTGGTAGATCTCGGCAGACTGGCAACTTTAAAAGTAGCTCTCGGTTCAAAAAAGGTTGGGCACCCCTGATATAGACGGTTCGTCCACACAAAGCCGAAATGGAGCCGCGGCTTCGGAGCCCGAATCCGATACACTTTGAAAACGGCTCCCAAAGTGGGTAGGTCTGTGGACTAAATGCTTGCGGCTCCGTGTGTACGCCCTGGCCTATACGATCGTTTCCTGAATCGATGACGCCATATCCCGCCTCCCCACCTCTGCTGCTCACCCCCACGTCATTGCTGATGCATTTCGCCAACAACAACAACAATGGCGGATCACAGGGTTGCATTCGTGCTCCAGACACTACTGACCATGATACAGATATTAGTGCAACAAATCTACAGCTCCACGACCACAAGCATCAAGTGGACATGGAGAACGACATGAACTACATGCTGCCAAATCCACCGCGGAGAATAAACAGAAGAGCAACCAGTCAACCATGCTCGGGGGGTCTTATTCACTGCTTTTGCTTCGAAATCGGCTTTGTCTGTGTGGACGGGGCCTTACATTTCACTTTAAGTACTTTGATACTGTACTTCTTACAGAGACACTGTTAGAAGCATGTGTGTTGGCCATGTTGGTGAAAAGTCATTTACTGTGTTTTCCTTTTGCGCAATACTTGTTTTACAAATTAACCAATTTGGGATCCATGAAGTATATCTTAGCTTATCTTATGCACTAACTTTAAAGAGTCACTGTTTCACTGCTTACATTTAGGCATATGGAGTGCCCTGAATGTTTTTAAATATTTAAAGTATTTATATATACCACCGTCATATGGCGTCACCATCTGACCTTCACCAGCAGGTAACACTTATCTTTACAATGTTTCTAACAAGCCAAGACTTTCTGTTGAGATTTGCGGTCAAAAAAGAAGGTTTACATTGCGATGTAGAAGAAATTCTACACACAGCGCTAAATATGTCACACTTTTTGGTGGAACAGAGTGAAGAAAGAAATCCGAGTTCAGAGTGAAAGGCAACATGTGTGAAAAGATCCCATTTAAAGTGTTTAATTACATTCATGCTGACAGACAAACAGTGTGATAGTGAGGAGGAAGATGTTGTGTGTTGGTCTGTTTGTTGTACACAGTGTGTTAGTGTCATTGGGGGTTCAGACAGGAAGGTTAGAGAGAAAGACAAGGAGCACAAACAGGAGGAGGAGAGTGACAGCCCTGCAGCTGAACATACACTCACACCTTACTGTGAACACACCACACACATCACTTCAGGGGACATTGAAGGGCATTTCCTGGAGACTTATCCTAACCTTAACCATAACCAACACATGCCTAACCCTAACCCTTATCCTAACCAAGTCTTCACCCTAAAACTAATGATTCCCCTTATGGGGACCTCCCTTATGTCCCCATAAGGGAGGAGAGTCCCCACACGTCACTGTGTAAACATATGTAGGTCCCCACAAGCATAGTTATGCTAGAGCCGCGTTCACACCGCAGTACTTTTCCCACTTTAGTTCCGATATAGTTCCGAAATGTCGCGTACACACTAGGGCTGCAACAAACGACTAATTTGATAATCGATTAATCTATCGATTAATGAAACGATTATTACTGTATGCCTTGCACAATTTCTCAAGCGCTCTTATTTAGCCATCAACTTTTAGATTTAGCTTGAGGTTCTTTTAGGCATGTGGAAACTAACAATGAAGACAATAAAGATGAATACTTGATTCAAAAATACATATATTATTAAATTAACTAAACACATTTTGAACAAAATTAACATTGCTTTTTTTTTTTTTATTAAATAAATAATATTTCACATCAAAAGAAACTACAATGTTTTAACAAATCGTATTAAATAATCTGATGACAGAACTGTGAACAGAATAGCTGAAACTTTAACAAAATAAAGAGTAACTCAGTTTCCTCTCATCATTAACCCATGTTTGTATCATTGAGTTAACTCCGTGTGTTGCTGCTAGCATACAGAACACCTGACGTGGAAACGTTACGTGGATGGGGCTACAGACCTACTAGAAAGACAGTCGAACCCGGTGCATTTCTCCTTCTGAATGTGGTGCACTTTTGCTAAATGTTTAGACAAATTGCTCGTGTTACCGCCCTTACATGCTAAAATCTTATTGCACTTTTGGCAACGAGCATCGAGACGGGTAAAGTTGAACCACAACTCGGAGCGCGTTCTCTCCGCCATCTCCGCAGTGTTGCTGCATGTAGCAGCCGTGTGTGTGTGTGGCTGCATGTAGCAGCCGCGTGTGTGTAAACTGCCCCGCCCCCGGACACAGACGGGGGAGAGAGGTCGCGTCTCGATTGGAAAGATCGAAAATACATCATAGACGCATTTCTTTGTCTTTTTGCATATTAGAAATGAGTTGGCGACACGAAGACTGCGATATAATGCTTATGTAGCAATAATACATGACATCTTTTTTAAATGTCTCCATTACCGATAAAAAGACCAATAACGTTTGAGCTTAACGGCACGTAAAACACACGTGATGACGTCATCGACGACTGAATTAGTTGGCAACTAATTTGGTGATCGATTTTAATCGATTAAGTCGATTAGTTGTTGCACCCCTAGTTCACACCAAAAAGAGCCGGGACTAAAATTAGTTTATCGGAACCTTTTTGTACCCCCTTTCCCTTTTCCCTGCTAGAGAGCAGGGACTTTCGTGGGAGAAAAAGGTTCCTATGTCTGATTGGCTGGGCGGATTGCAAACCACACCCCGTAAAACTCCCAAAAAGTTTTGTGAAGCTGCCATTTTATTATCCTCGCATTAGCATTATTAGATTAGCATTAGCCCAGCACACAAACGCAGAGAGACTAACTTATGGCAACACAAAAGAAACATGGGAGTGGTGGAGTGATGAGGAGGTGTCGGTGTTCTGGCAATTTACTCGGAAGGCTTCAGTAGAAGCTGCTGGGAGTCTACTGAAGCCAGTCCCCAACTCCGGGGACTTCGGGTGGCAGTATACGCCGTAAAGTTGTTTGCGGCCTGCGAGTAAACCTAAAGCAGAAGAAGAAGTGACGTCAGCGGCTGTCACTACCAAGCCCCCAGGAAGTGCGCCGGACTCAGATGAAAATATTCGTGGTGGCCAAACGGCGGTACTACACTTCCGTTTGGTTGCCAGGCCCGGAAACACTTTTTCCCATTGACTTACATGGGGAAAGAGTGGTCTGTAAATCGTTGGATAATTTTTTTTAAACTAAATAAACTACCCAGTATGAACAGTTGTATAGCCCTTATTAAAAACATTCGTTCCTCAAGTTGTAAAAAATGTGCTAATAACGTTATTCTGAGAGTTATTCCCTCTGCATTATGAACGCGCATCTAACCCACGGGACCGCGCCGCACGGCACGTTCATGTTACGTGTTCAGCATGGTCCCGACCAATCAGAGCACACTGTGCTCACAGGAAGGGTGGGGGCTGGAGCTATTGGAGCTACAACGAGCCGTTAAAGGCAGAAAGTGAAATTCAGTGAATACACGTAGTTTACAGAGATGCTGTATGAGAAACCAATGTGAGTTGCGTTTATCTTTACCCATGGATGCACAATAAGAACGGACCATATCGTCTTACTGCCATCCCACGGAGCTGTAATAATGGATATATTGCACATGTTTGCTGTAATTCATTATATACTACATGGGCTGTATGATTAAATCTTTTACCGTAAATTTTGTATTAAATAAAGTTAATATTACCGGCGTTATTAACGTCCCTGAAGCTTCGTATTGCACTGTGTATATATATATATATATATATATATATATATTAGGGCTGTCAAACGATTAACATTTTTAATAATCAGATTGATCACAGCTTAAAAATTAATTAATCATGATTAATCACCATTCGAACTATGTCCAAAATATACCATTTCTTTATGTATATTGTTGTGGGAATGGAAAGATAAATGAAAGAAGGCGGATATATCCATTTAACATACAGTATGTTTATTATAAAAAATGCTGTGTGTCAAAATGAAAGACAGCCCACACACCTATCAATCATCAAACCGTGGGGTCTTAATTCATTATGTGTTGATTTCTATCAACGGGGGAGTACTTCAGGAAAGTCGACAGGGGGGGGCTAGTGGAGTACTTCGTGACCACAGAGCGTGACCGTCGTGATCAGCTGTTTTAGCGCAGTTCTCCAGTGAAGGGGGGGGGAGTCTCCCTCCGCAGCCGGTTGGCGTAGTATTGGCACAATTCCGTTGTGCAGAGTAGACCGACGTTAACAGCAGCCCTGTCTGTGCACACGGAGACCTACTCTGTCGTCCGGTGATCTTACCTCCTTCTGGAAAAGCTTCACAAGTAGGCCTACGTCGGTACGCAAATGCGCTTTGTGACTAGTGGCGTAGCGGAGGCTACCGGAGCTACCGGAGCTTAGGGGGCCCCGCCCCCACTGTAGGCTATCCTCTTAGATTTCGTAACGCGGGAACAGGGCGCAGAGGGCGGGGCCCCCCCCTCCCTGCTATGTTGCTACGTCATGTGTACGCTGCCTGTAGTAGTACAACAGTGTATCATTATAATTATTTGCTCATCTGCGATAGGGCTAGCCGGCTGATAACTAATGTTCATTGGCAGGCTGGGCAGCGTTCAAAACAAAGCGGGAAGCATTGCTCATATAAATAACGTTCATTAGTTGCGTTGCCGGTAAACATGAAAAATGAAGCGCCACTACCCAAGCGGTGCTCAGAAAAGCAAAATGAGAGCGAAAGCCGAACAGGAGAGGGCAAAACTACCTAAAATAACGTCATTGTTCCGGCAGGCAGCAAAGGTAGACGTAGACTCTAACGTTACTGCAGATAGACCGCTAGCAACCCCCCCCGGCCCCCGGCCGTCAGCTCCGAGTCCAGGCAGACAGCCCAGCAGCCCCGTTACAGCCGAGCCAGCTAGTCGTGCCTCGCGCTTCGAGACAGGTTAGACATTAGAATAATATAAAGTTTTATTCGCCATAACCAGTATGCTACAGGTTACATTGGAATTGGAATCTAATCCGTTCATTTTTGCAGGTCAGCAAGAAGTCAGCTGTGCCCCCTCCGAGGCCAGTTCAGACATAGGCATAGACAAGGCTGCCCAGCCAGCTAGCCGTGCCCCCACAGACCCCAGCAGCCCCGTTACAGCCGAGCCAGCTAGTCGTGCCTCACGCTTCGAGACAGGTTAGAATAATAGAAAGTTTTATTCGCCAATCGCCATAAACAGTACGAGTCAGTATGCTACAGGTTACATTGGAATTGCAATATAATCCGTTCCTTTTTGCAGGTCAGCAAGAAGTCAGCTGTGCCCCCTCCGAGGCCAGTTCAGACATAGCCAAGGTTGCCCAGCCAGCTAGCCGTGCCCCGACAGTGACAGCAGCTCCCACCCACCCCAGGGACACGTTGGCCAGCGACAACTCTGTGACTGAATACCCTACTGATAGGGGGAAATTCCCTGTAGATTTAGAAGACGATGATGTTAAACGGTACATTCTGAATAACGGGCCATGCAAGCCTGAAGGGCCATTCAAAAGGGATGGGAAGGGAAGGTGCTTTTCAAAAGAGTTCTATAACAAAACATCCAAAATTGGATGTAGAATTCCACGAAAGTGGCTATGTTACTCGCCATCTATGGACCGGGTGTACTGTGAGCAGTGCTGGCTGTTCGGTGACAGACCGTCTGCCCATCACCTCCACCAAGCGTGGAGAATAGGAATAAATGATTGGCAGGGTCTCTCTAAAAAGATTAAGGAACACGAATTCTCTCGCTCTCATTTGGCAGCATGTGTCGTGTATGATACGTGGAAAAATAATCTGACCATTGACGCGCAAATATCATCTGAGTTTAAGAGAGAGGTGGGGTTTTGGACCGAGGTCCTAACCAGAATAACTGATGTTACACTAACACTGGCCTCTCGCAACTCTGCTTTCCGGGGTCACAGAGAGAAAATAGGTGATATAGATAATGGTAATTTCTTATCTACCATAGAACTTATGGCGCGTTATGATCCAGTTCTGCAAAGGCTTATTGAAAGCAAAAAGAAGGTGCACTACCTAAGTCCTCAAACTCAAAACGAAATAATTTCATTGCTATCGAAAAAAGTGCAGGACACAATCATTACAGACATACAGAATTCTATTCGATTATAATGGATACTACCCAGGACATTTCAAAAGTAGACCAACTGAGTCAAGTGTTCAGATATGTTACTATAGCAAATGATGAAAATGGAAACCCTACAGAGGTGAAAATAAACGAAAGTTTTTTGGGCTTCCATGCAGTCACAGACCAAACTGCTGCAGGTCTAGAGAGAGAAATTCTCGAATCGATGGAGAGAAAGGGGATACTACTTGGGAAGTGCCGCGGACAAGGATATGACGGGGCTAGCAATATGAGTGGCGTCTACTCCGGTGTACAAAAACGCATAAGGGATAAAGAGCCCAACGCAGTGTACATTCATTGTGCTGCGCACAATTTAAACCTTGTACTCAATGACGCATGCCAAAATATACCTGAGATAAAAGACTTCTACGACACTGTTGAAAGGCTATATGTATTCTTTAGTGGAAGCATCAAACGATGGGAGCTTTTGGAAACACACCTCTCAGTGCCCAAGGCTGGCCAGCCTACACTGAAGAGACTATGCCCGACACGATGGGCATCAAGACAAGACGCCGTCCAATCATTGCGGTTCCGTTATGCAAGCGCTAACTAAGATAGACTTGCTCTCCAAAAAAAGCGAGGAACGTGCCGAGGCGACTGGCTTGAAAAAGGCCATGGAGAGCTTTGAGTTTGTTGTAATGACTGTAATACAGGGCAAGGTCCTTGAAACAGTCAACATTGTGTCCCAAGCTCTCCAGCGCAAAGACGTGGACCTCTTACAGGCGACAGCAATGCTTGGTAACGCAACCGATACACTTGCCCAACTCCGAGGAGAGTTTGATGGCTTAAAAGCGCACGTGCAAGACCTGGCATCCTCATGGGGTGTCCACAGTCTCTTCAAAGACAGACGCGCAAGGCGCACAAAGAGGCACTTTTCAGAGCTTTGCGAGGACCAGCGGCTCCAAGACCCAGGGGAGCATTTTAGAGTGGCGGTATTTTACGCAAATATCGATATTGTCGTTGCCCAACTCAAAAATCGATTTGTTGGAATGAGCGAAGTTGCACAGCGATTTTCTTTTCTGCTTCCCCGCGAACTTTTGCGCGCAACAGACAAGGATCTGTCTGAGTCCGCAAGTGCTTTATCAGGCCAGTATAAAGACGACCTGTCAGCCGAGTTTCCTTTCCAGATCCTGTCCCTCCGTAATGCTCTTAGGCCTACTATAAAGAAAATTGAGCGTGGAACAATCAAAGACCTTGCACAAACCCTGCTCATTGAAAATCAGTCCATTTTGCCAAGTATCCCCGATGTTGCCACAGCACTGAAATTGTTTTTAACTATACCCGTGACTGTTGCCAGTGCTGAGAGATCTTTCTCAAAACTTAAATTAATAAAGACATATTTGAGGAGCACAATGTCGCAAGAGAGACTGTCTGGGTTAGCAGTCCTTAGTATTGAGAGCCGACGCGCGCGCAGTATAGATTTAAAGACTGTTATACAGGACTTTGCGCAGAAGAATGCCAGGAGACGTGCTCGTATAAAATAATAGGCCTACAAAGCAGCTCCTGATTGCATCCTCTTTGTAGCCTATATAGGATGTGTTTTATTTGCTTTTTTTTTGTAGGCTACTTTTCTTTTATACAGAATGTTATGTGAACCGTTCCGTTGTGTGAACTCCAATGATGATAGGCTATAACGTTCTACAATATACCTTCATGTTACAAAAAATACACAGCCACTTGTTTGTATTTGTCAATGATGTTTAATCAGATGTATATTATTATACAGTTCCTACTAGGGGTGTAACGGTTCACAAACATTTCGGTTCGGTACGTACCTCGGTTTTTAGGTCACGGTTCGGTTCGGTACGTTTTCGGTACAGCAGAAAAAATTATCACAAAACATAACATATTTTTTTCAAATTATTATTAAACTGTGAATATTCACTCAAATAAATACAAAATATAATAAAAAAAACATTAAGGTGCAGCATTTCGATGAACTGAAATAATCTGTATTTGAACTTTACTGTACTAGTACTCACAAAACATAAACTATTAGTTTTGGGTTTTTAATGATTATTAAACTATGAATATTCACTCAAATAAATACAAATATAATAAAATAAACATTAAGGTGCAGCTTTTTAATTAACTGAAATAATCTGTATTTGAACTGTACTAGTACCTAAGCAGCCAGCTTGACATTAGGACTTGCTTGTCATTGTATTTTCATGTTGTTCTAAAGAAAGATGAACTTGTCCACATTGCTTGCCGAAAGGGCAGATCTGCTGGCACTAACAATGTCTCCTGCTGTGGAGAACACCCTCTCTAGGGACAGAGGTAGCAGATACAGCCAGGTAGTTTGCTAACATGGCAACATAAGGATATTTGGTGTTTGTAATAGCTTTGGCTCGGTCTGAACTCTCTGCGAGTGGTGGAGGCTTAAATGCTAGCGGGAGTTGGGTTTGCACTTCAGTCTTTTTTCTTTTGGTACCGGTGATATTCACGTTCGGGTGATGCCTTTTCAAGAGTGTGCAAGTTTGATGTATTGCCAGCCGCGTAACCAATTTTAGTTGAACAATGCCGACAAACAGCTTTGGTTCGGTCCACCTGTCTTTGTCCGTCATCCTTGTACGTAACTGCGAAACCAAAATATTCCTAAACCGGAGACTTCAATGATGCTGGAGGATTTTCGAGCTCAACTTTATCTGCGTTCGCCATTTAGACAGTTCCTCAAATTACTGACTACATTTGAACGCATCCCTCTGACATAGTATGCCTCTCGTCCAATGAAATGACTTGCTCGCTCTATGACGCGTTGAACACAATGGGAGCAAAATACTCTGAATGCTGCGACGCAGCACCTGAGATTACTTCCAAGAAGTTGTTCACGTTCTCAATTTTTTAAGTTTAACGTTATATTCGTTCGGTACACATGTGTACCGAACCGAAGGGCCCGTACCGAATAATTTCGGTACGGGTACGTGTACCGTTACACCCCTAGTTCCTACTGACCTTACTGTTTAAATCAGATGTATCTTTATACAGAAAGTTCCTACTGACCTATAGGCCTACTGTTTACAAAAGATGCCTGAAAAAATAAACATTTAAAAAGTGGCCGCGATGTCTATCCCATGTCACTCTATTATTGATTTAGGGGAGGGGGGCGGGGCCCCATGGTCCGACCTGCGGGGGAGCCACGAAATATTGCGCAACGCCACTGTTTGTGACACAAGTGACGGTACGCATTTCAGATTACGCACATAACCTGCGTACCAGTTATGTGCACCCCTGTACTACAGCCAAAGTATTCTCCGTCGGGACTTCCTGCAACAACACCACGCCGTTATCTTGATTCTGATTGGCCAGAAGACATTATCAAAGATGTTCTATTGAGAAGACGATCACTACGTGACAAAAGTTTTCAAAACCGTTTCTGGTCTTCGGTATTTCCAGACAAGTGGCTACTGAAATCAATCTTACTAACTGCTGTCTGTGCAATTTACTCTGCGCGCAAGTTGGCTTACTTTAACATCATTTTTCATGGTGGAGCTAAGCCATTTCTTGGTATGGGTGTAGCCTACCCCAGCCATACCCTGGCGCTGCCACTGGTGGGATGTATGGGGCGGGCCATTCTGTATGCATTAAATGCGTTAAATATTATAACGCAATTAATTTAAAAAAATAATTACCGCCGTTAACGCGATAATTTTTACAGCATTATACAGTGCAATAATTATTTCATGCTAAATGAAGCTCTGTTGGTTGGATATCACTAGATCCTGTTACAGCCTAATATAAGTACATAACGATTGATGTGTACATTAGCATAATGACTAGCTAGCCGCTAGCTGCTAACTGCCGCCTCGTTAATATCAAATCCACACCCCATCCATTTTTAAGAGTGCGCTTAACCTGTTCTACACCCCCCCCGATACCGGGGGAAAACGCATCATCTGCAGGAAACAGCGTCTGAGGGCATCTTAATATTCAATAAACTATGAATGTTTTATATCCATGTAACGGGAAGAAACTCAGCTAACTGAAAAAAAACCACAAAGCTAGCGCTGAGCCTATGAATTAGCCACGAGCGAAAAAATGCTAAAGCATTTATGCACAGAAACTCACTCATGTTCCCTTATTACTTATCGTAGCTGCACTCAACCCATCGTTTCGCATCGTGAGAAGACACAGAATCGATCGGTACATACATCACTCCATGATAAGAACTCGCGAAGATATTAACAAGAACAGACATCAAAACATGTGGCGCTAGGTAGCTAAAAACGGCAAAATGGCTCACCTTTGTCGTCGTCTGGTCAAAAGTGGTCTTCGATGGCATTACAATGATAAAAACGCTGCTGAAGTTAATCCATAGTTAATCCAATGTGTCTGTGTCCCTTTGAAATTATTTCTGATAATCCATAAGAATAACCTGCTTTTCCATTTCCAGATGTCAGAGCGAGAGATAGGTTCGCTCTCATGCAAAACTGCATGCGCATAGCTCTCATTTCTCAATGGTAAGGTGTGTATGTGGAAATTCCCCTTCGATTCTATTGGCTCTAACAGTCAAAAGAGATGTCAATCAGCAAAATCGACCAATGGGTTCCAGAGAAACGGTAAAACGGCAATTTCCACCCAAATCACCTCAGAGTGGAGTTTTTTTTGCTAAACCTCTCTAAAATGTCAAATGTCACTTGTTTTGCATCAATTTTGATACAGGGTACTTATATGTTGTACTTTGGATTCCTAAAGCTTTTAGTCTACCTTACCATCATCCAAGGGTAGTTTTCACTGTAAGTAAAAAATAACTTTTGGACGGACACTATAATTTACAGTTTTTTTTACTATGTTCAATCTGAATTTTCTTTAAAATAAAAAACATCTATATTGATTCTGACTTTTCTACATCCAACTTACAGGTTTATCATTAATTTGAGAAAAAAAGATTATTAATTGAACCCTTTTAGAAGGGAAGATATGGTCATTTGTTCTGGGAATGTCATTTTCGAGCCTGAGACCTGAAAAACAGGCTCAGTGCATAACAGGTTAAGACCTTCCTTTTTGATAAAGCTTATAGTTGGGGCTGATTAGACTCAGCCCCTAGTTTTGCTGATATAGGCTTAGTTTGTCGGGGGACATCTTACTTCTTCCTTCTCTCTGTCTATACCTGTGTACTCTCATGTTCCCATTAACCCAGCTTCCCCCAAATTTCTTTTTGGTGTCTATATACGCTGGGATCCTGAGTCATGGCTGATCGTGTTGCTGTGGTCCTGAGTCCTGGATCGCGAGCCCTGGATCTTGAGTCGTGGCTGTGCCTGTTGCTGTGGTCCTGGATCATGATTCCTGGATGGATATCCTCGT